CCCATTCTGACTGGACGTGGCTGCAAATTTGTACATCCCGCACAGCCAAACGGACGCCCCACATTAGCAAGAGTTTTACTGCCGGTCGGAGGAAGACCAATGGTGACCATACTTCTATTCCCCAGTCACCCTTGGGGGGATTTATTCTAGGAATGAAGAGCAAAAGGATATAGCAGTCTTTATATAAAATAGTTCAGGAATCCAGTTGGAAAGAAGAGCTTTTCAGTTAAAAGTATTTCCTGGGAATTAACAGGAACTTCTATAAATGTTTTTCTGGAATAGTTATTCAAAAGGAGAGTGAAGTGTGAAGGATTACATTAGACAAATATTGCTGAAGTGGTAAAATCAGACCCAAGCGGTGTACAAAATTTCTACAATACATGTTACAGCTGACTTTAGCTACTTATTAATCACATTGACATTTGTGTGCTTTTATGTTTTCTTTACATAATTACTACAGTTCTATTAAAATTAATATTTTTATTCTTTGTCACAAATATTACTAAATAAAATACAGCATTTTAATATGTTTTTTCATAGTCTCACTTGCATTGTACTTAAATAAGTTGTCTGTAGATGTTTACACTAGGTTTTCAGTTGACTTCACTTGATTGAAACAGCATTTAATTTTTTTGTTAAATTATGGCCTGAAAAATACATTTAACATTTTACAGGAGTTTTCACAATCAGTGAATGGATGTTTATCACAGTAGTACATGTACATTTCACGGTCTTTTCACAATGGGCACATAACTTTTTCACGGTGTACATTTTGGTTTTTCACAGGGTTTCTACGGTCTCTTTACCCAAGTTTTTAGTTGGCACCTTTTCACGGCCTTTTCACGACAAAAAAAGGCATATACTGTACTATATCTACATTTCACGGTCTTTTCACAATGGGCACATAATGCATTATCACGACTTTTTCACGGTGTACATTTTTTTTTCACAGGGTTTCTACGGTCTTTTCACCCAAGTTTTCAGGTGGCACCTCTTCACGGCCTTTTCACGACAGTCATTCCCCGGCATTGTCACGGATAAGTTTCACGGCCCACCGTAAATTATCCGTGACAAACACTAAAAATCACCAGCATTTTTACGGACATTTTCACGGCCAATCTACGGGGCATTGTTCCAGTAGTGTAAACAGGATGGGAACAAACCCTCTATATGGTGTTTGTACCTTTATATAGGGATAATCCTTCTATAGAGGGATTACATTATCCTGTTATACGCCATAACTCATTGTGGTGCTCCTTATAAAGGAGGATCATACGTAGACAAGCAGTTGTCCATTTATTTGATGTGTTAGAGCTTTTGATTTTGCCATATTCATTAAGGACTTAATAAATGATCAAGCCGATAGTAAATGCGAAAAGAAGATAACTGAAACTAAAGTAAAATGAAGTCATTCATTTAAAGTACCTGATTTTACAGTTGGAGATACCGCCCTGGTTTAACAAGAAAAAAAAGACAATAAATGACAATAATTTTTCGTACGTCACACAGGTAACGAAAAATAAATTTGTTGTTAATAGCATGAAGAGGTGCAGTTTTGACACACCTTTTTATGCTTTCCGTTTTGAATTTTCTCCGGAGTAAATTAGGAAATATTGGTTTTCACACTGAAAACACTTAGTTCTTTTATTTATCAGATGTATTTATTTTCGAGTTGAAGCGGCGGTCACCTACGGACCCCTCAAAGAGTTTTTGCAAGGGTTTTTAACGTGCAAAGAGCGTGGCGCTCTCTTTACACGAGACATCGGATTTAACGTCCCCTTTCTGACCGGACGTAACTGCGAACTTGATACATCCCGCTCAGCCAATCGGACGCCCCACTTCGGCAAGCGTTTTACTGCCGGTCGGGAGAAGACCAAGTGGCCATATTTCGTTTCCCCAGTCACCCTTGGGGTTCCGTTTACTGTAATTAACACATGTCTTATATTATTGCTGTCTGCTAGACTGAGAATAATCATCAGATATCACTCATTCTCAATTTAGGGTCGCAATTCTATGTACCGCAGTGTAAAAGACATATTCAACCACAGACTTGTACATTTCTATATATAGTCGGATAGGGGATACCGGTGCGGAGATAGAAATAATTGTTTTCCACATGTAACTCTCACAATTTAAACAAAATCCAGCTTTATGAACGTCAAAAACAGTATTTACGTTACTGTCCACGGCAAGGTATCAAATTATTAAAATCTCAGTCTCGTGTTATTTAAGTTATTTGTGCACAAAAAATTCTGCAGTTATTTGAAGAATTATCATACTTTTCAACTGATACTTGTAAAATGCATACACATAACACATTTTAAAAATCAGATTGAAACGAACTCTAAATTTCCAGTGTCACCAAGTCCAAACTATTTGAATTAATGTGTTTCTTAAACGACGTTAGCACTGCATTAAATGTAGTTATAGTAAACAAAACCTATTTGTTTTATTCCTTAGACACATTGTTTTAGCTGACAAATAGCAAAATTGTTCTGTTCACATTGATTTTGCATTTTTTTCCATACCAAGGATCATGGTTATAAAAACAGGGGATATTTACGTGTTGCACGACACAACAATAACACATAACTCAAATGTCAACAGCTCTTAGTTATTGGAGAGGTGGAAGTATATGTACAATTTTGACATCTGTACTGTCTTCTACATAAACAGTTAGTATTAACAACGAATTACTATCTAGCCAAAAATATTTACGTTAGGGATATTTACGATACAAAATATACCTTTGGAACGGACCCAGGTACTGATCATCATTTTAGCACTTTTCAAAAACAGCGTCTATGACGTCATTGTTTAACACGTTGTTTACAAGATTTCATGGCGTTACATATCCATACATTACAGTAGAGAGATAAAAGCAAATAGAAGAGCAATGTAACTATGACGATGTTTGATATATATTTTTTCTTACGTTTTGAAATAAACTGATGAAGTAGAAGTTTAATTGTATTCCATGCTTAGTTCTTGTCATTTTCAAATACACTTTTTGTACTGATCATTTACACAAGTTAATTGAATGGGGAAAGTATTTACGTTACGATTGGGTAACGTAACAATTTTACTAACTATAACTGAATTATAGAGTGAATACAATAAAAAAAAAAGTTGTCTTTGTGATTTTAAAGTTGGTTTATAGATATATGATGCTAGTTTCAGTGGTTAAAATTCATAGAAACCAATGTTTTTCTACTGTAGCTGCATTAAAAAGATGCGTAGTAATGCTAGAATTGTCGTGGAATTTCACCATTAATTAAGCAATCAAATCAATAAAACGTGCTAAAAATGCATCTCAACATTTATATTATGCTATATCAAGATAACAAAATGAACAAAAAACAATACATACAAGTTTACCAATTACTACAACTAATCTGCCTATGGGTCTAATTGTAACGTAAATATCAAAATTTTATTATTGCTTAAAGGTAAATTTTTTATTACATTATTATAACATACATTATGTTTACCTAACTAGACTTCTTATTATTCCTATCTTCGTTCAAAACAAAGTGTTTGCTAATATAGTTCATATTTTGATATCACTAAATTAACATAAAACTGGAACATTATAGTTCAGTTTGATGCAACATGTACTCCTTTTTCAGGTATACATGGCTAAGTCACGAAGTCAAATCCAAAAAGAGTACAGAGAGAGAAAGAAATTGAAAGAGGGAAAGAATTATTTAAAGAAAGAATCAGCCAGGGTGATTAAATACTATGTTCCAGCAGCTGAATTGCCAACTAAGGAAAGAAAAAAAAGAAACGAAAGAGCAAAAGTCCACAACCAAACACATAGACGCAAAAGAAATGCAGCAGCAATGGTTTTGAATGAATCTGTTACAGAAAGCAGTGGTTAAGATAGTATAGGTAGCCCATTGGTGGTAAAGTTGCCACTTGTTGGAAGGAGGAAAGGAGGAAAAAAGAAAAATACAAGAGCTTTAGCTAGAGCCCATGGTGCAATGAAGCGTTTGAAAGTAGAAAAGGAAAAGCTTCTGAAAAAATTAAAAGCAAAGTCCAGACAACTGAAAAGGCTCAGCACTAAGATTAATTCCGGAACTAGAAGGCCATCTGAACCTTGTACACCTAACAGCAAAACTGAATTAGAACTGAGAGAATTAAATTTGACACCCAGAAGAAGAGAGAGGGTAAAGCGAAAGTTAATGTTGAAGAATGTGGTGTTGCACGAAATTTCAGAAGCAAGAGCTTCAACTTCGTCCATGTATGAGAGACAGTCCATAGCTAGACTAGCGTCTGGAAAGTTGTCAAAGAAATACAGACTCAATCTTGCTATAAGTAAAGGAACTGGTATATGTAGAAAGACTTTGACAAAAGTGTCCACAAAGCGGGTAAGACCAGACAGACGTATTTGTGCAGTCAAACAGCTTGCTTTAGATGTTGAAGATTTCATGAGCAGAGAAGATAATAGTCGCATGCAACCAGGAAAAGGGGATGCAATTAAGATTTCGAAGGGAGAAAAGAAGCAAACAATTATTCTAACAAATTATCTTGCTGATCTACATAAGAAATTTTCTGCAGAAAACCCTCAAGTGAAAATTTCGTTGGCAACCTTTTGTCGTTTACGTCCACGCCATATCTTAACAGCAAAGTTCATATCCCGAACATCCTGCCTATGTATAAAACATCAGAATATGGCCCTCGAGTGTCAGACACTTAAGAAATACAACATTTTCGTAAGAGAAAATCCTGAACACTTAATAGGTCAAAGTCTTGAAATAGAGCGTTCTATGGACCAGCTGCTAGAAAATCGAGTGGCTTATCGAGTATGGAAACAAGTCGCTGTTGAAGATAAAAAGAAAATGAAGATTATAGAAAATACAGTAGAGAAGAATGAATTTATAGAGATGATGAAAGTTGAAATGAATCAGTTTGCAAGTCACGTTGACAGAGTACGGTGTCAATATAGAGAAATCAAAACACTTAAAGATAGCCTTAAAGGGAAAGAAATTTTAGTCCAAATGGACTTTGCAGAGAACTATTCGTGTAAGTCTCTTGTAGAGGTACAGAGTGCCTATTGGAACCAGACCCCAGTCACCATACACCCAGTAGTTGTATATTTCCGTGGCCAATCAAAATTAGAACACAAAAGCATCGCAATAATTTCTGATGAACTTTCTCATTGTACCAGTACAGTGTGCACATTTCTTGATTCTTTAGTTCCAGTCTTGAAGGAAATCTGTCCAAATGTCGAGTTTGTCCACTACTGGACGGATAGTCCATCAAGCCAATACCGCAATAAAACCATTTTTGACCTCGTTGCAAATCATTCATCAGTTTATGGAATTCAGGCCCGTTGGAATTATTTTGAGGCTGGGCATGGCAAGGGACCTTGCGACGGTCTTGGTGGAACAATCAAAAGAATGGCTGACGAAGCAGTGAAGAGAGGAGCAGTTGTTATTCAAGATCCAAAAGAATTTTTTGATTGGTCTATAACTTCAAACATGAAAGAAGTGAAGTTTTTGTTTGTAAAAAAAGAAGATTGCAAGAAGAAGCTCGACCAACTAAATAAACTAAAGCTGAAGCCAATTAAAGGAACAATGAAGTTTCATGCTGTAGCCTATGACTTACAGACGGCCGAACTTTGCACCAGAGAAACATCATGCTACTGTGACACATGCTTGAAAGGGAAATTCTGTGAATCCTGGAATAGACAGACATATGAAGGTAACACAAATCATAACAGTCACACAGAAGAAACAGTCACACAAAACGAATTGCAAGAAAGTAATGAGATCCAAAATGAAGATTATCATGAAATAATAATAGTAGAAGTGTCAGTGGATGACTTTATTGCATGTGTTTATGAAGGTCAGTGGTACATCGGGAAAATTTTAGATATGGATGACGAAGATGTACAGGTTACCTTTCTCGAAAGAGCGAAAGCTATGTTTAGGTGGCCAACTTCACCTGACACGATATGGTGCAAAAAATCAGACGTCTTCTATAAACTTGATCATCTAGAGCCTTCCGGCAAGAGCAAACGCTTTTGGAAAATAAGCCCAGAGGACAGAACTAGAATTGAGAACAACTTTGAAGCTCATGAATTGAACACAAATAAATAAAACATATTTGTTGAATTGTTTAACATGCATTATCTTTGCATTTTGATATTTACGTTACCAATTAAAAATTTGAAATTTTTGTCCCTTATTTGTTGGTAGACAAATGTCTGAGTTGATAAATTCGTTGTACATTCATTAAAAAAACTTTCAATGTTTAAAGTCAGAATTTCGGATTGAAATTTTATAAGTTAGATTATTGATATTTACGTTACCTTTACACAGGTCTATGAAAAGTTTAAAATATCTACCATGCCAACATTTCTTTTTCATTGCAATTATTCAAAAAAAGGTATCAGCCATAAATTGTTTGCTTACAATGCATTGAACAGAGAAAAAAAAATAAATCAAAAAAAGTGATTTTATAGAGTAAAAGGAACAGCTACAGTTTAAAAACGGACCCAGTTTTGATTTGGCTGATTCGGTCATATGAATTTCGGACCATGGTAATCAGAAGTGAATTTGAAAGTCAAAACTGTTGTTCTATTTAGACAACTCAATATTTTGAAGTATATTGATGAGCATTGGCTTTATTTAATATGTTTAAAACAGTCAGTTGCAGATCACGTAAATATTTTGTCAAAAATTGGACATTAAAGGCGCCAAAACTAAGAGCTGGTAAATTTTTTATCCATGTTTGTGAGTAGAAAAGAAAAGCAGTTTTAATTAACAGGTTCATTTAGGTATAATGTATGAAAGGTTTTAATGTAATTTTGTAACCTTTATTATAATTGATTTAAGCATATGCCTTAGCCACCGTAACTTGAGAATGAGTGATATCGACAGATATTAAAGGTATTCTGTTTAACACACACACACCTTACTTATTTGTACCATATCGGCACAACATTGGTGTCGTTTTGGTCTTGTTGAGAGTTGTCTCATTGGCAATCATACCACATCTATTACGTACATGGGGGGACATATACTTGCCTCCCCATGCCGCTAAAGTTATATTTGCTTAAGAGCAACAAAAACATCTATTTCCATAGCACGTTTATTTCAAAGAGACAGATCCCCAAGGGTGACTGGGGAATAGAAGTATGGTCACCATTGGTCTTCCTCCGACCGGCGGTAAAACCCTCGTCAAAGTGGGGCGTCCGTTTGGCTGTGCGGGATGTACAAATTTGCAGCCACGTCCGGTCAGAATGGGGACGTTAAATCCGATGCCTCGTGTAAAGAGAGTGCCACGCTCTTTGCACGTTAAGAACCAATGCAACAACTCTTTGAGGGGTCCGTAGGTGGCCTGTTGCAAGGCTAAAATTCTGTCCCTATCCAATATACCCTCATTTCCCGTGGCAGTCTAAATTTCTCCGATCTCAACCCCATACGCCTCTATTACAGAACCTACCTATTGTATTTATTGTTAATTTGTTCTGAATATGAATGAAATATTTGCCACTGGACGTTAAGCAACCAACAATCAATCAATCAATCAAAGAGACAGATAACATCACATCAAATATGCATCATCATCATACAAAGGGACACAACTCTCACGACTTAACTAAAAAACACATACGACCATACAATACATATATATATAACACATCTTTTTTATATTTAAATATTTTATGCAAAATATATATTTAAATTCTAACCTGTACAAGTTGAATGTCAACAACAACTCCCTCATCTAGATCCAGCATGGTATAATTGCCAAACTTGGCTGAATGTCCAGGAATGTCAACTCTACCATCTCCTTCAAGTGTCACAGATCTTTTTTGCTGCTGTATATTATAGGCATATAAATCATTCTGTTAAAAAGTAAAATCACAAAAATACTTAACTCCGAGGAAAATTCAATCGGAAATTCCCTAATCACATGGCAAAATCAAATGACAAAACACATCTAACGAATTGTGCCATACATGTCCTATTGCAGGGTACAAGTAAAACATCATAAATTTCAACATCCTTAATGCCTTACTTGGTACCGATCCAGAAAACAAAATTCCTGCTGATATTGTCAAATGTCCGGCTGGTTTATTCAAAAAAAAGGCTGACTGAACCAGTTAGGAACATTCAAACACATTTAACACACTTGTTTAGTTTTCACCATAGAGCCATTAGTGTACAATAGTTCTCCAACAGTTTCAGCCGTACATTCTGTACATGTTGTAAATAGTTCCATTAAGTGTGATTTAAAACACAATGAATTTGGTGTCTTCTTCTACAGGTACATGCATGCGTCTGGAAATATAGAATTTTAAAATAATGAATGTTAAAAAATCTTTAATAAATATACCAGCAATCAGTTTCAATTTGTCTTCAATAACATAATAATCAAATAGACCGGTAATAGGGTTCGTTTTAAAATTGCATTAACATTACGGTGAGAAATCTATCTTCGATATAACATCTAACCTCAACATTCAAGATATCGAACTGCAATAAAAGCAATGATCCTTTTCTGTAATTTTTGTCTTGTGTATGTTTCGATTTTGTGGCAATTACAGATTATATAGTTTCTTAACCATATCCATTTGTATCCCCTACCCTAAATTTTTTTGGACCATTTTTTGATTAAGCACTGTTAAAGTCACAATGTTGCTCCCATAGACTCAATGTAAAAAAAAATGAAAATAGAAAAAATCCCTACCTACATACCCTATTTTTTCAGCATGTAACAGTAAACACACATACTTTTTTGTTTGGCCTAATATAAATATCAATATAATATCTTACCATTAAATTCAACTAATTCTAAGCCTTTTGCATTTTTTTTATCTCAAGATCACCTAGTAGTAAGGTTGAATGCTCTTGTCGAATGCGAAGAAAATTCTATTATTAAACCAGACAGTATTCAACAAGGATGTTGGATTAGCTAAACATTAGAAAAATAGTACAAATATGCAAATTTTAAGAGTGTGTAATAGACTGGTTATGATAACAAAATTTAATCAACAGTTTGAGAGACATTTTTAAATGTGTGTAGAATATAAAAAATATCATATCTCAGCTTTTTTTTAAAATGGAAATTCAATTCAAATAAATCAGTAAAAAACAAATGTTATTCCATGTACTTTTCTAACTTTATAAATGTTACAGCAAAAGAACCATTTATGATAGTGATTGATTTTTTTAGGCCAACTTCAGCAATATTTCCCCCCCAAGGGTGACTGGGGAATAGAAATATGGTCACCATTGGTCTTCCTCCGACCGGCGGTAAAACCCTCGCTAAAGTGGGGCGTCCGTTTGGCTGTGCGGGATGTACAAATTTGCAGCCACGTCCGGTCAGAATGGGGACGTTAAATCCGATGCCTCGTGTAAAGAGAGTGCCACGCTCTTTGCACGTTAAGAACCCTCGCAACAACTCTGTGAGGGGTCCGTAGGTGACCTGTTGCAAGGCTAAATTTCTGTCCCTATCCAATATACCCTCATTTCCCGTGGCAGTCTAAATTTCTCCGACCTTAATCCCTTAATCTATTACAGAACCTACCTATTGTATTTATTGTAAACTTGTTCTCGTCCTGAATATGCATGAAATATTTGCCACTGGACGTTAAGCAACTAACAATCAATCAATCAATCAGCAATATTTCAACTACATTTGTATATAAAGGTGGCGAGATCACATTTAATGCAAATTTTTATCCATCCATGAGGGAGCTCAAGATTCAGTTAGGTGTAAAATAAGGAACGTTTATCATACAAAATGTATATCTAACATCCAAACTAAAACAATACAAAATCTAGGATGACATAATAAACATACCAGCTCCATGTATCTGTTTATTGTACAACAATTTCACGTCTTCAGGCTCTACTGCTTCTGCTCTGTTATTTTTGTTGCATTTACCCTGGCCTTTTAATTCCTTACGTTTAGTTTCCAATATTTTTCTTGAGTGGTCAAATAATTTGTCTTTCTTAATGTCGATCTTGCTCTTATTGTCTTTTAGATGGCGATCTATACTATTTTGGACACCAGTTAGAGTCCCAGGCTCATACTCCTCTCCATCTTTTCTTCGAACGCCTAAAATTAAATAAAAATCCCTGTGGTTTATTGTACAATCATGCTTACATAAAAAAGAGATACATGTACATGTAGTTACATACAATTTGGGTTCAACACATTTAGTCATTTGTTATTTTTTTGCCCGTTGTTTGATAAATGGATGTTAATCCATTAAACAAATTTCAGGTATATTCAAGAGGAGAACAAGTTATACATTAAAAGGCCCCCAAGGGTGACTGATGCTAACATGCTCTTGATAAAAGTGCCATCTGATAGCTGTTTTGTGATGATATGTTCTTTTTCCCGAAGAACAGCCACATGATTAAAGTCTTTTTTTACGGTATCAAATGTTACAACCCCCAAGGGTGACTGGGGAATAGAAGTATGGTCACTTGGTCTTCTTCCGACCGGCAGTAAAACGCTTGCTAAAGTGGGGCGTCCGTTTGGCTGTGCGGGATGTACAAATTTGCAATCAATCAATCAATCAATATAAATTAAAAGAGAAATAGGGATTATTATTTTTGACTGCCACGACCGCCGGGCTGAAAAATATGCATTTTACTGTTTAATGACATAAATAATGTTTATTACATGTGTACGTTTGAATAAAACATAAAAATTCAACAAATGCATATATAAAAACGAGATAGCAACGCATCTAACTCCTCTGCTGAAACATCTTCAACCAATCTTAAATCTCCATTTGATCTACACCAGTCATAAAACATCCCCCTTTAATAGCAGACTTGTTTTTGTACTGTTATGAATCGCAGTTTATGACTAAACTCAGTAAAGACCCGTCAAAATTGCATTTAATTGATAAATTCAACAACACGTACCGTTATCTTGATGATATTTTTTCGCTAAATAATCAAGAATTTTCTCAATATACTGCTGACATTTACCCCAAGGAACTTACTTTAAATAAATCAAATTTAAACGGTAATAACTGTTCTTTCCTAGATTTAGATATTTCGGTTTTAAACGGGAAACTCCACACTAAAATTTACGACAAAAGGGACGATTTTTCGTTCCCTATTGTTAA